TTTGAAAATTTGACTATTAGGTCCATTAATAACGTTTCCTCACCATTAAGTCCCTAACTCAACTTTAATGTTCTTGAAATTTTTGGGGTATTACAATATTCTTCCTAAATCCTTTTTTTTTTTTTGGAAATATATTCTTCATGTAAACCCTTTTTTTTTAACAAATATATCCTTTTTTGATCCTAAATTATAATCAATTTATTGCAGGAGTACCAATATCGCTAGCAATTAGTAATCAACGTTTGTTCCTTCTGAGAGGTAAGTAATCAATGTTTTAAAACTGCGATTGGCTATCCCTTTGTTTTTAGTACTAGATATACTTCAACCAGCAAGTCAAATAGGTTAATTGAAAAGACTGACTTTTTAGTATTTGTGATAGAGCTGTTATCGAGTTGACTCGAGTTCAGTACATAAGTATTTGACTCGAACTCAATTTAAAATTTTAAACTCTAGAGTTGAGATTAAGTATTTTAGTTAGTTGAACTTGTGTTTAAATTCATAAATATTCAAATGAATTCAAGGTTACTTGCAAACTTGAGCCAACAAGTATTTTAGTTTAAATTTAAGTTTTTTTCCTAGAATTTTAAATTGTTTTAATAATTAATTATTTAATCTTAAATTTTTTTTAAATTTTTAAGAAATATTGTAATCTCAAAAGCTGATATAAGAGCATTATATTAAGTTAGCAGTAAAAAAAATCATAAACTTGTTTTATATAATCAATAAATTAATTACATATATTCACAAATTTTAAAAATTGGCACAGAATGATTTACATGAATAAAAAAGTAAATAATAATTTTATTTTAAAGTTAGTTTTATAATTTAATTAGTTATTATATTATCTCTATAGTAATAAAATATTAAAAAATAATAAATGAAAAAAATGAAAAAATATAGTATAAAAAACCTGAATTGGCTAAATTTAACCGATTTTTATCAATTCTCACGAGTTTTGACCGAATTTTAACCATGACCGATTTGGTGTGTTAACCTAAACAATTTTAAGAATGGTTATTAGTAGAAACTATCAAACTCGTCAGTTCTGTTCGGTTTTTAAAACCAAGCATTCACTTAACTATTTCAACTGTATCAAAATTAAGTTATTTGACTTTTTTTATGTAATTTTAAGTAATATTTTGTTATAATGAGTTTTTTTTTTTTTTATATCTTGTGTTGACTTAATGTACTCGAAGAAAAAAAGGGATGAATTGGAGTTGAAAATTTTTTGAATTGGAGTTGAAAATGGTTTAAGTATCATTTTGGTCCCTCAACTTTTCACTTTTGCACCAAAATTATCCCTCAGCTTTAAAAAATATCAAAATTATCCTTAAACTTTTATTTTCGGTACCAAAATGGTCCTTCCGTCAGTTAAATGACATGTGGCACGTTATCTTGCCACAAAATCACATTTTTTTTAAAAATAATAATTATGTGGAAAATAAACTTGATGAGATGGCATTTTTTTTTCCATGTGCATTTTTTTCTTATTTAAATAAAAGGTTTAAGTACCATTTTGGTCCCTTAACTTTTCATTTTGACACCAAAATTGTCTCTCACCTTTAAAAAGTATCAAAATTATCCTTAAATTTTCATTTTTAGTACCAAAATAGTCCTTCCATCAGTTAAATGACAAGTGGCACGTTAAAATGCCACAAAATCAATTCTTTTTTTGCTTGATTAATGACATGGAAAAAAAAAACACAGTTGGCCATCTTTTTCTTATGAGGGGGCATTT